GGTTGTATTCGCTTTTGTCAGTCCAGTATCCCGAACTGAACCGAAAAGTGTTCTGTGAAATAATTGTATAAGAGTAAATAATCAATCCCATACAAAGATAAGCATCAAATGTAGTAAGCAAGAACATTGTGTATTGTGATTCAGAATCTATAAAAGTTACGCACCTGGCAAAGTTTCCCGTTTAAACCGGGGAAAAGAAAGAAATGAAGAATATTTGACCTGACCTGCAACGCATCTGCGTAGTATTACATACTCCGCTATGATTCTTCGTTGCGAAAACAAAAATACTTTGCTGTGGCACGAAGCTCGAGTCAGGCTTTAAAAGTTAGGGGTATGAGAAAAAGTACAAGCGTTTGTTCGAGATTTGTTGTGAGAATTTGTGAGAATTGAGACATCGTGGTTAGAGATACTCGAATTCTATACCTCAAATTAGTGAGTGATGTATTTGTCTGCAGACCCTTTGAAGGAACATTTTCACAACAAAAGGTAACAACCTACCTTGTTGCCATCAATCTTCATAACTGGTGTCCATCCACCATCTCCACATCCAAAATCTCCCATTTGACAGAGAACGGAAGTTGTATTTGAGCCAAAGTGTAAGGTAACCAACTCGCTGGCGTTCGACCTGTTCGGGGAACCGGATCAGTTTTAACAATTGTGTTGATTTTTATTTCTCCAAAATCTATTAGATCTAATAATTCTTTAATTGATGTTAAGTTTTACGCATTATAAATGACAAGAATAAGCCCTGAATATTTTACTGAAGGAAATTAATTCGGAAACACAAGAGAAGATGATTTCTGACGTTAACTCGACAGATAACCCTTTTTTTTAAATTATAAATCCGCCCTTTTAGTGTCTTAAGTAAGAATTTAACTTTATCACCGACTGCATCCCAAGCTAGAGTTAAAGATTAAATCAGATATCGAGTTTTTTCCCTCGTCATTCATATAAAACAAGTTTCAAACCTACTTGTATGAATTGTATGCATCTTTACAGGACTTGAAGTCTAAGTATAAATTAAAGAATTGCGTGTTACAAATGACGTCTCCGGCATGCTGCAAGGGTAGGAGTTTTCTTTAAATCTTCAACTCTTATTCGCCTGACACCGTTGAAGTAATTAACAATTATTAACTGAAGTGACGGTGAATATCCATTCCTTACAGGGGATGTACAGTATTGCATCAAACGAGCTCGTCAGAGGAAGCCTTTGATAAATTTCAGTTGAGAAAGAGGTCAATTGTAGGACCGACGCAATGATCACTCAATTGGCTACGTTGTCGTTAATATACTAAAAGCAGACTGCTCTTGGAGCAAGACAATCCCTGGATAGGGAGCAAATTTTATGCAAATAAATGCTAATCCAACCTGGCAATTGCAAGTAACGTCTAACCTTTCTCACAGAATTCTCCAATAAAGCCTTTCTTGCAGAGGCATTCAAAGATGCCGTTTTTGTAACGTGGTAAACAGGTCCCTTCATTTTTGCATGGCGAGGAAGAACAAGGAGACTGAGGAGAAGAAGAAACATTTAATAGTTGAACAATGATAACATATGGG